TGATGAATTAAAGAATAATTATTTTTAAATGAAGCCATTAAAAAACAGGAAGGAAAGGCAGGGGCTGGCATTCTTAATCATTAAAGCGATGAGAAAGAATGTAAAAAAAATGGATATATTTGATCATGCAATGAGATACACTTCTATGCATCTATAATTACCACAAAGTTGTAAGATTAAGACTAAACTACGAAAAAAGATATATGACATATAAAAGAAGGGGCAGCCGGGCGCGGTGGCTCACGCCTGTAATCCCAGCACTTTGGGAGGCCGAGGAGGGTGGATCACGAGGTCAAGAGATCGAGACCATCCTGGTCAACATGGTGAAACCCCATCTCTACTAAAACTACAAAAAATTAGCTGGGCATGGTGGCACGTGCTTGTAATCCCAGCTACTCAGGAGGCTGAGGCAGGAGAATTGCCTGAACCCAGGAGGCGGAGGTTGCGGTGAGCCGAGATCGCGCCATTGCACTCCAGCCTGGGCAACCAAGATCATTACTCAGAGCCTTAAAAAAAAAAAAAAAAATTAAAAAAAAATAAAAGAAGGGGCAGTAGTCTCATGATACATATACAAAGAGCTCTTAGAAATGAAAATGGTTGAAAATCAGAGAAATATGAGTTAGGATGTGAACAGTAAGTCATGGGGTGGAGAGAAGCAGAGAGAGGGAGAGAGGGGGACAATGGGGGAAAAAGAGGGGGTTGGGGGAAGAGAGAGAGAGAAAGAGCCAGTGAAAGAGCAAGAGAGCAGCCAAACATGTACAAAAGCAGCAGCCTACTGATAATCCACCCCCTCCAAAAAAAAAAAAAAGAAAAAAACAAATAAGGAAACACCATTTTTACCTACCAAACAGGCAAAGAACTAAAAAGTGTAACCCTCAATAACCTAAAGACAAGTGTGCAGAGCGGCAGGAGGTCTCATGTGCTCCTGGTGACAGCCAAACAGGTAAAATCCTTCTGAAGGGAACTTAGCAATGTATCAAAAGCGTTTTGGAAGCTATTGCCCTCTAATCAGTAATTCTATTGTTAAAAACTGTTACTAAGAAAACTACCAGTGATGGGTGCAATGATTGCTGCACAAGAATGTTCACCATAGCACAGGCACATGCTCATGTAACAGCCAAAATATTAGAAGAAAATAATCTCAATGTCCAATGGAAAAATAGTTAAACAAGTTATGGTATATTTATGTAATTTAGTTTACAGATGTGTTTTCAAGAAAAATATGATATTTAATAATACTTACAATACTAGTGAAAATGTGAGAGTCAAAACTTTATACACCCTTTATGCATGGTATAATCTGAACATGGGTGAAAGGGCCAAACGGGAATACACATATTTTATACATACGTGTGTGTGTGTGTGTGTGTGTGTGTGTGTGTATACACAGTCGCACATAGCTTTGACGTTATTTATCTCATATATAGATTTATACATACGTATAAATCAGTGAGAAGGTCAAGGATAGTACTCAACTTCAACCTTGAATGCTTTTGTGTTTTGGGTTTTGTTTTGGAATTATTGGATTTAGATTTCTGCAGACTCTGCAATGACAATGAGTAAAAGGAAAATTTTCAAAGTCAATTATTATTTCAAATTAGAAAAGTCTAGGCTTTATTTCTTTGCACCTGAGAAGTCCTCATCAAGCCATTAAGGAAAGAGGAGAGGGTGAAGACACTATAGCCATCAGTCCCCTGCAATGAAGTCTAAGACAGAAAGATACACAGGAGGTGCCAAAGGACATCTCGGCTGGGCTGGCACATGTAGCCCCCCCCCCTGCTTCCCCACCACACTAAGGGCTAAAGTCACCGTCTGGACTTACTCCTGCAGACTAAAACCACATCAGCAACCTGGACCCCAAGCCCATTCACTTTGGGATACCAGCCTTCCAGCAACAATCAAGTTGTCTTATATTTTCCTCAAACTGGGGGAAAAAAATAAAAAAAAGTTCATCTATTAAAAAGGGAAGGGCTGCACAGATCAAAAAGTCTTTTATGCAAAGACAAAGTGTAAACAATCTCAATTTGTGAGCTAGTAACACAAAGAAAGCTTTGATTTTATTTCTCATATATTTTATAAACATAGGAAGAGGGAGTAAAAGACATCATGTGTCTTGCAGTTGAGGGGACAAAGGCTGGGCATGGGTCCAAAATCTCCCCATGACATTACCCGTGACACATATGCACAAAACGTGCCATATAACGAAGCATGTAAATAATTTAATTTGTTATCTATGGGTCATGGGACTATGTAGCATATTTATTTTCTTCTTCTTTTTTTTTTTTTTTAAAGGAGTCTCTCTCTTGTCTCCCAAGCTGGAGTGCAGTGGCACTATCTTGGCTCACTGCAACCTCCACTTCCCAGGTTCAAGCAATTCTCCTGCCTCAGCCTCCCAAGTAGCTGGGATTACAGGTGTCCACCACCACCCATGGTTAATTTTTTGTATTTTTAGTAGCAACGGGGTTTCACCATGCTGGCCAGGCTGGTCTCAAACTCCTGATGTCAGGTGATAAAAGTGCTGGGATTACAGGCGTGAGCCACCATGCCCCAGCCTATTTTCTTTATAGTTTTCCTACTTTTGAATTTTTCTGAAATTAATTATTTACTTTTATAATGAGAAAAACGTTTTACAGCAGTGTCTAAAATTTTTGTAGTTAAGTGAAATACTGTCTTCACTGTGTCACTTTCACCCTCAAAAATCTACAATGGCTTCCCCAATAGCTATACTACCAAATTCACAGTCCTTCAAGTGTTTTCTACCAGACCCAATATCCAGAACTCTTGGAATAACATAAAACGTCCCGTTGGGCAGAGCACAGTGGCTCCAGCCTATAGTCTCAGGACTTTGGGAGTCCTGGACAGGAGGATTGCTTAAGCCTAGGAGTTCAAGATCAACCTGGGTAACACAGTGAGACCCCATCTTTACAAAAACAAAAAAACTAGCCAAGTGTGCTGGCTTGTGCCTCTAGTCTCTGCTACTTATGAGGTTGAGGCAAGAAGATCACTTGAGCCCAGAAGTCTAGGCTGCAGAGAGCTATGATAGCACCATTACACTCCAGTCTGGAAGGCAAACCAAGACCCCCTCTTAAAAAAAAAAGAAAAAAAAAAAAAAGCCCTCCCCCTTGGCCAGTGACCTAACCTGTCTCCCTTATTATTTCTTCCCATAGTTACTCTCCCACATTTGTCCACATTCTTGATGTCTGGGCTGGCTCCTCTTATGGGTCATCTCTAATGGGTCATGTTTCTTTACGTCCACACGCTTTCATTCACTTTCTAACTTTGATTGAAATTCCTCTTCTCCCCACCACATCCCACTTCCTAGCTGGCTCTGCTGAAAGGTCCCCTCTTCTTGGAAACAGTCCCTGAGGTGCCTGTTGCTTCTTCCTTGTTCCAGGCATCTCATGCTCACATTCAGTACAGACTAATTTTTCATTGTTCTCTCTAGGACAGGAATTCCTCTTTGCTGTCCCCAGCATGGAGCTCGATGCCTAGCCTCAGGAGATAAAAGTTTGTTAAACTGTGTTTTCCTCTTAATTGTTCTTTCTTTTTTTTTTTCTTTTCAATTTTTAGGAATTGCTTTTTCTCTTCATTTTTATTTAACTCTGCTTTAAAGTTCTGAAAAGGATTTACATGGTTCCTAAGTTAAATATACAAACAAGGTACATTCAGAGAAATCATGCTTCTATCCTTCACCTTCACCTTCCTTTTTCTTTTAAAATTTTTTAATTTTTAAAAATTAAATTAAAAAAATAATTTGTCAAATTATAATTGTCATCAATTGTGTATATTTATAAAGTTCAATGTGATGTTTCAGTCTAGTGTACATTACAGAAAGATTCAATCAAGCTAATAAACATATCCAACACCTACAATGTATCTTTTTCTGCAGTGAAACATTAAAAATCTACTCCTTTGGCATTTTTGAAATATGCATTATAATTAACTGTAGTTCCTAAAGACAACTAAAAAACCTTTAGAACTGATAAATCAATTCAGTAAAGCTGCAGGTTACAAAATGAACATACAAAAATCAGCAGTGTTTCTATATAAAAAATGATCTGAAAAAGAAATCAACATAACCACTTAAATTTTGGGTTTTTCATCCATAGTGTTTTTCAAAACCCTAAATATATATAAATATATGGTACCGCTTTCTTAAGGCATACCACACACACTCATTTGCATCTTGCTTTTGTCACTTAAAAACATATTTAAGTGATCCATATAAATGGTGATCCATAGCAGTATATGATATAGCCGTTCCTCACTTCCTTTGGGTTACATAGCAGTCCTTTGTACGAACAGACCCTAATTTGTACAACTAGTCCTTTACTGATGGAAATTTGGGCTTTTTTCTAGTCTGCTGTTATTAGAAATTGGCCTGCAACAAATAGCCTTGTACATACAACTTCCTTGTATTTGCCGGTATATTTTTGGAATATATTCCAAGTGGGACAATTGAGTCAAGGGGTGAAATTATTTGTTTGTGAGATACTGCCAAATGCCTCTGCTCAGGGTATACCAATCTGTTTTCCCTCTAGCAGCATCGGATGATAGTGCCCATTTCCTCAGAGCCTCACCAACCAAACAGGCTGGCAAACTTGCAGATTTCTACTCACGAGAAAGATCATAAAGCAGTTTTATTTTGCATTTCTCTTGATATGGGCAAGAGAATCTTTTCAAATGTTTAAGGGCCATTCACAATTCATTTTTAGTAAGTTCCGTCCACATGTCTTACCCATTTTTCTTTAGCGTTGTTGGATCTTTTCTCACAATTTTCAAAAAGAGCTCTTTTTTTTCGGAGACGGAGTCTAACTCTGTTGCCAGGCTGCAATGGCATGTCTCAGCTCCTGGGTTTAAGTAAATCCCCTGCCTCAGCCTCCCAAGTAGCTGGGACTGCAGGCACGCGCCACCTCGCCCGGCTAATTTTTGTATTTTTAGTAGAGACGGGGTTTCACCGTGTTGGCCACGATGGTCTCCCTGATCTTGTGATCCGCCTACCTCGGCCTCCCAAAGTGCTGGGATTACAGGCGTGAGCCACTGCGACTGGCCCCAAAAAGAGCTCTTTAAATATTAGAGTTAGTTATCCTTTTGTCAGTATGATTAAAAACTGAAAGTACTCTCTTCTAGTTTGTTATTTACCTCTTGACTTTGCTTATGGAGTTTTTGCCACACACAAAAAAGGTTTCAACATTTTTATTTAGTCAAATTTATCACTTCTTTAATTGATTTGGATTTTGATTGAAAGATAAGTTTTTTCACTTCCAGGACATTAAAGAATCCACTAATGTTTATATCTCCTACTTGTATGTTTCAATTAAAAAATTTAAATTATCATCCATTTGGAATGTATCCTGGTTTGTGGTATAAAAACATATACAAGTGTATCTTTTTCTATTGGCTCTCTACTTATCCTAGTACTCCTTACCAGTCTATCCATTTAGATTGATTTGAGATGCTTGCCTTTGCCTTTATGTTACACTAAATTTGTATCTGTGATTTGTCTGTATCTGGACTTTCTATTCTGTCCCATTAGCTGCCCTATTCGTGACCTAAGCCACAGTTTGAATTATAGAAACTTGAACATGCTTTGGTATCTGCTAGATCTAGCAATGCTTACTGCCCCTCTTTCACAGGGTTTTTCTAGATAATCTTGTTTGTTTTTTCATCCAACCTGTAACTACAAAAAAAAAAGTGATATTTTCATGTTACATTATCAAAGTAACTTCAAAAAAACAGTTTTCATGAGGCTAGGTCTTCTTGTCTACACACATGGTCTGTCTTTTCACTTGTACAGGAGACTCTTTTTCTTTTTTAAGATGAGAGATACTATATCCTAATGTCTGCTGACAAGAATGATCCACAGGGAAGGGGATATTGATGATGCCCAAAAGAGTGAGTCAACTTCTGGACTGACGCTGTGGAGCTGGTCAGAGGGGATGGGATCCAGTGCACAACTGGAGAGGCTGGCATGAGTGGTGCATCCATAGTCATGATGGGTAAATAGGGCAAGGGGCCAGAGGCTGTCAATGTAGCAGTCATTCTCTTCTGATTACTTATATTTTCACTTCCTCTGAGAACACCTGTCTCTTCACGTATTTTGATAAATTTCCTTCTGTAGCATTTTTTAGTATCTCTATCACGTTTTCCAACATATTTAACTGCATATGGAGTATAATATTTAAATTAGTGCAGGTTATGCTTTCTGGATTCATGATTTGAGAAAAAATGGACATGGCTTTTGCCACCTCATTCTGATTCAGAGCTAATGCCACAGCAAAACAGGATATTCTCCTGGGGAGAATTTCTCCTTTGAGTAGGGCTTCTTCTCTTAATGTAGTACAGATTTTAAAAGACTCAGGCTATTCAGTTTGTAGCAAATTGCAAAAGCAAGAACATAGGTTATCTATGGTGAACTTCACATCTTGGTTTTTCATTTCTACCAATACTTCCAAAGCACTTTTATATTTGCCTTTGATAAATAACATATCCATCAAAATGCTGAATGATGTGGAGTCTGAGAAGAAACCTTGCAAATGCTGGTCTTTCATGAGCTCCACTGCAGATTCCTCAAGATCCAACTCGTAACACAGCCTCATGAAAAGTGGTCCGAACTTAAACTCCCCCATAGTGATATTTCTGTTCTCTGCATGGTACCTGTAAATGACATTTTTAGCCAGCTCCACATGGGCCCAGGACTCACACAAATGAAGTAAGGTTATCAACTCCCCCTTCAAGATGAGCTTGTTCTGGGTCAGTTTCTCTTCCAAGTTTCTAAAATAGGTTTCTTTAGTGCCAGGAAGATTACATGCAACAGCCACTTTCTTATGCTGAAATTCTTTTAGTTTCACAATGTTACCTGTAAGTGGGTATCTTTTAGCTCCGAGAGGGCAGCGGTAGCAGGCAGAGCCAGAGCCTCCCACCCCGGGATACACCAAAATCTGCAGGGCCTGCAGGAGAACTCCACAGGAAGGCCAAAGTGCAGCAGCCATACCGTCACGGACCATACCAACTGCCTGTTCTCTCTTGTAAATCTCCAATGCAGACTCACGACCTCGGTCTTGCAATCTTCTGCCTCAGCACTAAGGACCACTGCAAACCCAATAACTGTGTGTGCCATGCTTCCTAACTGGAATTTCATCAATCTGAATGACCCATACCTTTGCCCCCTTTTCTCGACCCTTCACGGTCTTTCACAAGAAGCCTCCCCTCCTTGGCCAGTGTTATTAATATGACAAATATTGCTTATAATCTACCCTGTTAGACTGTAATCTCCTTCCTGAAAGAAAATGTGACACTTTATTTGGAATTCCATCTATCTCTCCTGAGTCCCTAAAAAGTATTCCACACAAAGAGAGACCTCCAACCCAATAACTGCAGCACTACTTTGCTCCAGGAAAGAGTTCCAACCAGCTGAGATGCAATTATTTTACTAATTCAGCCAATATACATCATTTGGGTTTCAAAGGCTCCAAATGTTCCTGGAGACCACCCTCTTCTCAGTAAGAGGCGGAGGGAAAACAAGATCATGGCTCCTTTTTCTAATCATTAGCAATAAGAGAAACGAAAATGTCCTGGGTTTTTTTTGGTTTTTTTTTGTTTTTTTTTTTATCAGAGGGCCACCATGAACTCCTGATGAGTGCAGGATGTTGATGCAACGACCAGGGATGATGTCAGGTCACCCGCCTATGAGAGCAAGGCAGAACCAGGGTTCTGGTACACCTGCTTCATTCTGCTGCTACCGACAGGCTTGCTATTTCTTTCAAATATTTTTTTCATGGACTATCACAAGTGAAAGCAGTATTAGAAAACACAGCTTTAGGGCTTGGGGAGGCGGCGGTGTTTTAGACTGGCTGGGAAGTGACGCTGAGCAGCAAGAAGACAGATCTCTTAGAGGAGACAGCCCCACTTGGCTGCACCCTCCAAGGAGGCCATGATGCATATCATCCCAGGGTCAGGTGACACTGGGGCTCAAAGTCAAGCCATCATCAGGTTACTGCCTCTGTTTCATCACCATGAAAGTTAAGCCATGATCCAGGTCTCTGGGTCTTCCCAAGCAAGCCAATGCAGAGCTAAAACCCATGCACAAATGAATAACTTCACAAGGATGAGATCTGTGTGTGACTGATGGCTCTACAAATAGCATCTCAGCAAAGGAGTTTACTAAGAGCCTTGTGAGCATATGACACTCTCTAGCTCCACTCAAGTGATAGATGGGTTCACATGGAAGCTACTAAATGGGCCTCATTGCAAAGGTATGGCTTCAACCACAGCTGGATTTCAGGAAGCAGTGTTTTCAACATATACCTTGGAAAATTCCTCACTCGTGAGTAAAGATTACATATGCAGGGGCACAGTGAATGCTTGCCTAAAAGACAGTGTAATGCTAAGCAAAATAGTCTGTTAACAGGAAAAGAAATATCATGATTTTAATTCTGGAGTACTAAGTCACCTAATCTTCAGTGTTTTGTGTTCAGATGACATGCAGGAAGCTGAGCTAGAGTTTATGCTTGTCCAATTCATCAAATAACTTCTATGCCACTTATCCTTGGAATCGGCATTAGAAAAGCCCCCACGTGCCCCCAAATCATATAAATTCCACGGTTTCCTAGTCATTAAATCCAGGTTGGCCTAATGCTGATATGTCATATTTTGACATGTAGCCACAAGGGATATACAATCAAAATTAAGACGAGACCTCAGGTAAAATTGGCATGCCCTACTCGGATGAACAATTTATGCCCACACATAGATAAAACTGCAAATATCTTCTCCAGATGATGAATATTAAACTGTTAGAAACTGAGAGAGATAGAATTCATTGACTCATTTTGTGTAAAACATTTCTTTTAGCTTTCAACCAAACATATAGAAGAGATATTTGCATCTTCACAAGTACACAGGCTATTATTGTATGTAATTACATACAGACTTTCAATACTACTATAATAATGGTGTTTATTTAATAAACCTGTATCATTAATAAAATCATATTTCCCCTGGCTTTAAATCCTACATGGCTTCCCTATGCATTTAGTATAAACGTTTATCCAACATCCAACCCCTCACATCCTCACATCACCTCCAAGGTTCTCTGAGCCCATCCCTACCACCCCCACTCCATCCCAACCTCTCCAGCCCCCGGCGCAGCCCCACCATCACTCATTCTGCCCTGCCACACTGGCCTTCTTCCTTTGTTCTTTGTCCCTTGAAAGAGCTAAGAGAAAGGTCCTTGTCCCCGCTATTTTCTTTGTTTGAAAGGCTTTCTCCCAAAACGTCTGTGTAGTAGTTAACTCTCCGATCTCAGGTCAAATGTCACCCCACAGAGGGCCCTCCACAGCCACCCCATGAGTGCTGCCTTTCACCTGCAATCACCATTATGCTCCCAGCACTCACTTCATTTTCTCTAGAGCGTAAGTATAATGCAATCAGAAATATATTAGTTTTTTTTTTTTTCTGATTATCTGGACCACAAAAATATAAGCTCCAACAAGAAAGTAGTTTGCTTCCACTGTAGGGTCCACAACTGCATCTGGCACACAATAGGTCTACGATAAGTGTTTGTTACATAGATGAATGCTGTGCCAGGAGGTGGCTAAAGCAAGTTAAAGACATGGTAGCCCACCTGCTTAGAGCTAATACTTGAGAAACAAGTGGACAAATAGCCACAAAACACAGAAAAATCATTAACAGCTGCATACTGAATTATGATTAAGGAATCAAAGTTAGTTGAATATATCAAATGTGAATAAATTATTAAGTCAAGACAAGTCATTTGGAAATGCTAATGACCTAGGCTAGGAAAGCTCTCTGAGATTTGAGAATGAGGAACTTTATGAACTTTCTAACATGGTACATAGTATGGCACCTAAATGCCTAGAGCATCAGAGTTGCTCAATAAATACTGCTGAATTTTGCAATTCTTAAACTAAGAAAATATTAAAATGTTATTTTAGCTTTCTTAATGAATACTTTTAAAGACTACTTGTCTATAAGTCTTACTGATGTTTCTCTCTTGGAATAAATACCAGATACATGAGTATGAAACTTAAATAGTTGAAAAATCATCCATGGATGCAGGTAAGAAACAACCCAGAAGAATTTTTTTTTTAACACAGATAATTTTTTTTTTTTAGCCCTACAAATTTCAAAGAGGCTTTTGCAAGTGCAAACAGACTTCAGCTTTTTCGCATTCCTATGCCCAGAAACTGGGACGTGAAAATGCCAGGAACCCTTTCGATAACATAACTATGTGATAGATGCAGGAGAAACTCTCCAACGACCAAGATTACTCCTGTGGAGCTGCCAAAGAACCAGATGCTTCGTTCAAAAGCATATCAATTTGGCGGTGAAAAAAACTGTGGCCTCAGCTCCAATCGGGAAGGGCAGGTGGGACAGCATGGTGCAGGATGCCTGTTCCCACTTGCCTCAGCAACCATCTTCTTCTGACAGCAAAACTGTGTTACTCCCAGGCTTGAAGGCATGAGCAAAATACATGTCTTTGCTATATATAAGGACAGGGCTTGGAAATACTTGGTCTGAGGCCATGCAAAATGAATTCCACACACGGGGAGACTGTAATACCGAAAAAGATGCAAAATAGTTTCACTGCACTTGAAATTTTTATCTTCTAAGAAATTGAACATAGATAAAGGAAAAAAACTGCTGCATTAAAAAAAGTTTCATAATGCAAGACATTAGAAAATAAAACTTTTTTTAATCAATACATACAACAAATAGCAATTGTTTTATGACTGCCATCTACCAAACTATCAACTGTGAAATCTTTCTCCTTAATCCTGAGCTTTTAAAAGGCTCTATTCATGTGCATCCATTTTCACAAACTCTTGTGAAACTAGCATGACCTGGCTTGAAATAATAAACTCAAAGGGGTTCTGTTGTAGTTGTTGTTGAGGCATTAGTGTTTTTATTTTTTTGAGAAAGCCCGTACTCCATTTCTGCATACAAAGTTCCTCGTGGTGTTCATCTTCATTTAAATTCGCAGCCAAAATTATTTTTTTAGTCTCTTTAACCCTGGTGGGCCCCCTGAGAGCATGTGTGTTCTGGGCTTTTGTAATTAGGCAGCTTGCACCTGAGCATCTCCATCTCTGGTAATTAGAGCTCACCTCGGCAGTTTCCTTCCCAGCCGATCTACCCACGGAGCCAGGAATGAACACATGGAGGAGTTGTGAGTGTGGTGTGCCGCTGTCTTGACCTCTTCTGCACTTTACCCTACTTCAGGATGGCACAGTTCTCAGTTACACCAGGGATACCTGAAGGGCAGGACCTGCATCCTGCATTCTATCCTTTCAGCACCAAGCAGGAGCCCCTCTCATGGAAAACAGCTCACCCCATGTATTCATGCACAGCTATATGTTTTGAGGGAAGTGGCTCCTTCTGTTTTCAACTGTCATCGTCCACTAAGATACAAATAAAGAGAAAACCTCTGCATCTCTAAATGAAAACACTGCATGTATTCAGAATAACTCCTTCTCACCACCCCCTTTCAACCGTCTACCCAAGTCATGGAGTGCAATGAACCTCAATGTCTTTTTTTTCAAGCTGTTTTTCATTCTCAACAGCTAAGTTGACTTTCCTGTCCCACTGCAGTAGCCAACAGCTAAAAATAAAATAAACTTCCCTGGGCAATATATAGAAAGGCATACTATCACACTTTTTTCCTTCGGATGCTTTCCAGTTCACTTGTCAATGAATGATCGGCATGGCTGGACGGATGCTTGCCCGTTCACTTGCCAATGAATGATCGGCATGGCAATCAACTGAGTCTTCAATATAGTAAACATATCAATGGCCCCAGGTGGACCTCTGAGATTTACTTTGGAGTAATTAACAGGTTTATAGTCTTTAAAATAATCCATAGATATGCCAAAGAAAAATGAAACAGTACTGTCCATTGAGAGTCCCCACCAAATATGGGGGATGTCTGATGGGGCCTCTCAATGGACAGTGCTGTTTCTAAACACAGGGGATACTCCACAGCTGCCTCGCTGTCCAGCAAGTCAGACCACTGCCTCAAGCAGGGAAACAGATGTAGAGAGAAAGACAGGAACAAGCTTGGCGGACATGGACAAGACAGCAATCTGCTTTGGGAAGAAGAGCCTCCGCCCAGAGCATCATTTCCAACCTTACCAAGAGAGGCTCAGAAGCACCTCCTCAGCTACCCAGCCTCCCTGGTGAAACTCAGGGATGTGGCTGGCCAGGAAGGGAAGCAAAAGGAAGGGGAGGGGGATTGGCCATGGCAACGGAGGTGGGGAAGGCGAGGAGAGTGAGGAGCTGGCTGTTTTCTTTAATCAAGTGACCAGTGGTAGTCAGAGAATGCTGGGAGGTCACTCAGAAGACTACGCAAATGAGCTTGGGAGCAGCTGAGTGCCACAGTTACTACCCACTGCAACAGTCACATATTCACCAGCACTCCTGTATTCTTGCTCTGCCTCTAAGAGGCACAGAAAACAGCCAACCAACTGCAGATAAATGTACTTCTTAACAAGAACAGCAGCTGCCGTGCCTGAGTTCACACCCTATGTCAGATACTCCGCTAAGAACTGCCTCAAATCTTCCCCCTTAAGGGAATCAATGAATATTTATTATTTTAAGTGAAAGCTTTCAAAAATACAGCTGATCCTTAAACAACATGGGTTTTAAAAACTCCATGGGTCCACTTACATGCAGATTTTTTTCGATAAAAATTACAGTAAATGTGCCTGCCTCTCCTGCCTCCCTTTCCCCTCCTTCCATCTTTCCCACCTCTGCCAGTCCTGAGACAGCAAGGCCAACCCTTCCTCTTCTTCCTCCTCTTCAGCCAATATGCTCCATGGGAAGACAGAAAGGATGAAGACCTCTAAGATGATTTACTTCCACTTAATGAATAGTAAACATATTTTATTTTGCTTACGATTTTCTTAATAACATTTTTTCTCTAGCTTACTTTATTGTAAGAATAATATCTATCATATATTATACAGTACATATTATATAATACACATAACATACAAAATATGTGTTAATCAACTGTTTAGGTAAGGGTTCCAGTCAACATGAAGCTATTCATAGTTGAGCCTTTGGGAAGTCAAAAGCTCTATGTGAATGTTTGACTGCACGAGGGTTGGGACTTCCAGGCCCTAAGCGGTTCAAGGGTCAACAGCACACACTCCTGGGTTCCAAGGATAGTCTACCACCCGCTGATCACATGATCTAAGGCAAGTAACTCAACCTTCAAAAGAAAACCTTTCTTGATCTGTAAAACAGGGATAACAGAATTAATAATGTATGCAAGGCATGTACTTAGCTGGTGCAGACAATGATCCTGACAACGGCTAACGGTTACATTATCTTATACCTACTGTATAGTGCCACACACACAAATGGAATGAGGCACAAGAGAGGTCCACTAATGTGTCCAACCCCAGAGCTAGCCAGCGGTAACAACAGGATTCAAACCAAGAAATCTGATGCCAGAGTCCATGTTCTCAAACCATTAACCTACAATGCCTCTTGAGTAAATATTCAATTAAGTGGTAGGTGTTAAGCTGCAGGAAAAAGAGGAGAGGAAGGGGCAGGAAAGCGGTCCTCGTTGGAAAACTAGGTTTCAACTGGCACTGTCGGACTGGGCTGCAGTCTAGGTCCTCTTGCTGCTGAGTTCCCTCACTTCATTTCCTGGCACTTCCAGTTTCCCATCTAGAAAATGTGAGGGAAGGATTCTATTTACCTCACATGGGGCTTCTAAGGAGTAAAATATCACATGTCGTGTTCGACCAATGTTAGTCATATCAAGATTTATTTTAAATAAATTAATGTTAGTCATATCAAGATTTATTTTATATAAATTATCTGTTAGTTTTCATTGCCATGACTCAGTTTTTATGTTCACTTTTTGGTCAAAGCTAAATAAAATATATGAATATATAAAAGCAGGGCTCCAACCAGACACCCACACACTCTCAGCCAGGCATCTTGAGCAGGCACCATCCCCCTTGACTGACGGCTATGGAAAAGTGAGGGCAGGAACCTGCCTGCAGTCAGAGACACAACTAAGTGCCTTTATTTCATCACACTGAAACCTTGACAAAGACACTTCAACTGTCTAAACTCAGTGGGTTTGAAACTATTTCAGAATAGAATTTCTCAGGATGAAAACGAATCTATGACTTCTCTTAACAGCAAAGAAAAAAAAATCTTGAAATAATGATTTTAAGCGTAAGACTTTAAAAATATAGATCTACACTTTTCACTACAACAGACACTAACCACATATGGCATTTGAATGTAAATTCATTAAAATTAAGTTAAATGATAAGCTCAGTTTCTCAGTCTCAACAGCCAGTGGAGCCAGTGGCACCCGTGCTGGACGGCTCAGATCTAGGGCCTCTCCACCATCACTAAAAGTACTCTTGAGCAATGCTGAGCCACATGCCCCGCAGACTAGTAACTCTTCCTTTAACGTGTACTCAATGTACTTTATTTAAAACATTGAACTTCTTATAATATTTGTCACTACTACATTATTCCATTATTTAGACAGTCCTTCCCTTTGTTCCTTGGCTCTCTCACAGTGGTGACAGAAGATGAATGCAATCACTGATTTACTTTTCTATCTCCCCAAGGGGACTGTGAGCTCCAGAACTCAGTAAATGCTGAGTCTTACCACTCTCAAGGGCACAACACAGACCTGTCCTTATCACATTACCATCCTCCACCATGAGGATAAACTCCAAACAATCTAAATACAACTTCAAAACATTTTTAATTATTCAAAAAAATAATCCATAGTACGTATTCTCAACAATTTTTTTAAAAAAAGATACAATTAAAGTGATTAAAATCTTGAGTTAAGGAAAGTCAACAATTAGCTCTAAGCCAATGTTTAGCAATGCAGTAATGCTTCAGTTTCTTATTCACCCATTAGTGTACTGATGAAATTCTCTGTAAGGAGTTAAGCATCATGTCCTCTGTGACAAATTACACTACAAAGCTGTTTCCTCTGTTCTCTGCTTTCTAGCTTATATTAACTAGCACCATAAAAGAAAGCCTTTAAGATAATACTTATTTGCAGAAACAAACACTGATTCAAGGCACTTAGAAGCACATATGTGCAATGAGGGGAACACTCGAGGGAATCCTAATATTTCATCATGTTGTAGATGTTACTGCCGTTGTACCTGCGTATCTCCATTCTCAACCCACTCTCGATATTTCATGTCAAGCCCAATCAAAGCTGTTCTGGTGGCATACCTGCAGAATACCCACAATAACAGCACCAATAAATATCACGTCTTACCCTTTGTCAGAACTGTCTAAGATTATATAAACATGACATATTTAAGAAGGAATGCATCTCTGTTGTTTACAATCTAACAAAGATAACGCCTAACAAATATCCCAAGCTATAAATAAAGACATTTACTGTGGTACTGCACTTACTCATCTCTGGGTTGAACAAATGTTAATTATAGAGAATTTGAAAATGGGACTTGTTAATGTCATTTTTAATTTAGCATGTTACAGTGTAAATGTTTTCCATTGTGTTAATTTACACCTGTTATCACAAGCTTCATTATTAGGTTTATAGTGGAGCAGCTCTCTGTGACTCAAATTTGCTTAAAATGGCAGAAACAATTACTAATTAGAAGGGCATGTTTACTTTAATTATATTTATTTCCTAGTCTAGTTTTATATGTAATGTACTATAGAAGTGTATGATTTAATTAGTGAAACCTATTTATCAAGAGCAATTTCTCAAATGAGTACTGCTTACAAAATACAACAGATTCTTTCAGTGTTTCATAAATTCCTTGGATGATATTTCTACAGAGAGATATCTACATGGAAATCTTTCACTCATGAGTTTAGAGCATTTCCCGTTTTTGTTCCAAATACTGCAATAATTACCAAAATAATTAATAACTCAAAATAATTAACAAGAATTCAGCTCTAGAGTAACAAATAACAAGAATTCAGCTCTGGAAATTTTTAATGCAAATTTTAAGATACGGTGTGCAAAATGTAGAAATGTATAAGTACAACCTTTAAAAATCTATAACTAAAATTATAGAATTTCTTTATTGATATTCACACTCATAAATTTCAAATCCTACTTTATCAAATCCCATTGATATGTACACTTACAAATTTAAAAGTCTTACTTTAATATATAAAAAGCAAATTGTTTTATTAAATTTAAAAAGATGTGGCTTTCTTCCTCTCTGGAGTCATTTCTCTGGCTTCCAAAGTACAACTGCCTTTTGTTTTTGTTAAATATTGCGGCACAGTAACTACCAAAGCAATAACCAATTCAGGCAAAGATCATTCTGGGAAAGACTGCTAGGAATAGGATGTTCGCCAGTCTCAAAAGATCACCCCACAAGCCCCTTAACCACAAAAGGAAGACAGAACCTGATAGCACAGAGAAATCTAGTGGCCACCGCCTTATTCACGTGACCACACATCACCACAAAAGGGACAGACTGACACCGTGTACTTCCTGTGGTGCCACAGGGGAAGGTCACTCTGTCCCGATGGGATATCCTCGCATCTTACAGGGGGAAAAATTTGGGATTGGGGGACATTCCACAAGAACTAGCCTGGACTTTTCAAGATGCTACATGTCACAAAAAGACTTTGAAAAAGCTGGAGGACTATTACAGATTTAAAATGAGGCTTAAGGAACGTGACAACTAAACATCATGTGTGATCTCTGGCTAGACTTCAGAGTTCAGAAAATAATGGCCATAAGAAAAATTACTAAGACAATTTGGGAGATTTGAATATGGATTGACCACTAGATATTATTATATTGAGGTTAAAATTTCCTGATGTCTTAATGGCAATAGACTGTGTAAAAGAATAAACAAGTCTTGGCCAGGTATGGTGGCTCACACCTGTAACCTCAGCACCTGTAACCTCAGCACTTTGGGAGGCCAAGGCGGGTGGATCACAAGGTCAAGAGATTGAGACCATTCAGGCCAACATGGTGAAACCCCATTTCTACTTAAAAAAAAAAAAAAAAAAAAAAAAGAATAAGTCTTAGGAGTTAAACTAGAAATGTTTAGGAATGAATTGTCATGACCTGAAGAGTCTTTCAAATGTTCAGAAAATAAAGTAAGTATCAAGCAAATATGGCAGAATGGCTAGTGAATAGGGGTAATGAGTATTCCCCCATCTCCATGGCAACATGTTTTTCAACATTTTTATATACTTGAAATTTTTAAAAATCAGAGTTAGGAAAATATAAATAATCCAATGAGCAGAGGGGGAGGCCAAACTAAGAGTACTCCTCATACAACATCTTACACCCAACCTTTAAGAAACATTACTGCCCTACTCTGAATGTAAGCTTTCTAGCACTAATGTTAAACACATTAAAATGGCAGTTATGTGGCTGGGCTTGATGGCTCATGCCTGTAATCCCAGCACTTTGGTAGGCTGATGTGGGCAGATCACAAGGTCAGGAGTTCAAGGTCAGCCTAGCCAACATGGTGAAGCCCCGTCTCTACAAAAAATACAAAAATTAGCGGGGCATGATGGCACATGTCTATACTCCCAGCTACATAGGAGGCTGAGGCAGGAAAATCACTTGAACCCAGGAGGTAGAGGTTGCAATGAGCCAAAATCATGCTATTGCGCGACAGAGCAATACTCTACCTTGGAAAAAAAAAATCGCAGTTACGCGTGCAAATGGCTTCATGGCTGTCTCTCAAAATATTTAGTAACAACATTCCCATGAAACACATTCTTCACACTGTCACATAAACATCTTATGTTTTATTTTACTTATTTTTTATTTTTGGGATAGGGTCTTCTCTGTAACCCAGGCTAGAGTGCAGTGGCACAATCATAGCTCACTGTAGTCTTAAACCCCTGGACTGAGTATTCCTGTTCTTAAATCCCAGAAAGAATCCATGCCACAGAGCAGCCAAGATGTTTCTTGTAAAAAGACACATGCATCTTACCAGCTTAGGTGAGAGTTCTTGTACTTGTTGTCTAGAAAAGCTGTATCTGCAGAGTGTTTCAATTTTAAGATCCTTTATAAGGTCTACTACCAGGCACTGTGTACTTGTAAAAACATACTTTCTTAAAGGAAAGTAAATGTCAGTGCATGTAGGATTTTGTCTGACCAAAAGAAATCCCCAAGCACCCTAAAGGGCAGATCATTACCCCTCATCTCCCAGCAGTCCCTGCTTCACATTTCCACACTGCTCCTGCAGATGCAGATGGGCTTGACTGACGCACCAATTTCCACGCAGCAGCTGATGCTGACAACCTCTTCTGGGGATGCTGCTGTCGACTAATGTAGAGTAACAGCCAACAAGGAAACAGTCCTGCCGAAAGAAGACCTGCCAGAAGAATGCCACATTCCAGGTTTCCTGTCTCCCATCCTCCCCTACCCAGACAGAGAAACTGCCCAACATGCTCTCCGCTAATCCCCATGACTGACATAAAGCTTTCCAGCACCCTATGTCATTTTTAGGAATGCTAGGGAAGTTATTTACTGGAATCCTGATTTCCCCCCATGGCAGAGCCCATTTCTTCCACTTCAAATAGTCATTCAGGTAGTCTTCTTTAAATGCGGTTATCCTGCTGGTTAGGGCAGATATCAAGCCCCTTTGTTTAAAAGTGCACCCACTGCCACCCTAGCCCTGGATTTTAACCTCTGGAGTAGACCAGCCCTAATAAAGGAGGTAAAGGGGTATTTTTAAAGAGAGCTGGAGAATCTGAGCTGAGCCCCTGCAACAGCTCCCAGGAAGATGTCGAGGCGCTTCCATGAAGAACTAGTTAACAGGGGAGCCAATCCGCAGATAAATCAGCAGCTCAGCAGCTTTCAACTCAGTCTTCAAACATACTGCACTTGCAATGTTCTGAGGCTCAAAATAGATCTTCTATCTCCAGAAAAGGAAAGAATTAGGATGAGGCCAAGCTTGTTAGGAGAAACAAGAGAGGCTGGTATTGAACCTGATTAGACAGGAGCATCTTGCTAGTCCTCCTTCCCAAGCTGTAAACAGTTAAGATGAAAAAACTAGCATGGCCCACATTTCTTACCTACTGTCAATATAGAGTCTAAATTAAAATTCACGGGGGTTCTACATGGACAGATAAGTGTCCACCTGTGTGTGTACTTCTGAGTTCACAGATGTACAACATACATTGTGTGTGTGTTTCAAGAAGGGACAGCCCAGATAAGGAGAGGTTACTGAAGTAGGCTAAGTTTCAGCAAAATGTAACCTTCACCTTAGAAACCGGGAACCAGAGTAATTAGATTACAATCTTTCCAACACTGTGGGAGAGATTTGATCAATTAAAGCCACGATCAGTTACATTATTTGGTTTACCTAAGTAATGGACCCTTAAATGCAATCAATACTTCTCTAGCCTGTGAGTCTTCAAGACCTGAGATGCATTCAACAAAAAAACACAAATGGATTTTCAAAGAGCCTCAGGATGTTCATCACAGGCTTGAGAGGAGCACTGCAGAGGGAAGGGGGAGGAAGGAAACAGACAACAGACCCGAGCCTGCTGTATGAAGTCTTCATTTCCTTCCCTCATTGGCGTCCTATTTTCATGTTTGTTTATTTTGTACTTCACGTATGAATTAAATTTGTTTTACCAAAGAACTTTTATCCAGGGATGAGCAGCCATGCCACTCAATTCATTTTAAAATTGCAGCATTAAAATTCATTTAATAGGAGAAAGAATACGATTAAGATTTCTATTTGTGTTTTCAAAAATCCACAAAACTTACATTGTGAAGTTACAAAGAAAAAGGCAGAAGTAGCTCCAGATCTTCTACCTTGTCCCCCATCCCATCCATTCGACAACATGGATTTATGGAAGGGCAATGACCCGGTATGCTTGGGACCTACCTGGAGCTGACCATATCCTGCCTTCTAGGACTACCCTGACTTAAAATGGATCCATAAGAGCCCCATATTAAAGCAAACTTTCACACCGCCTATACTCCTTTGTCCCCATTCTATGTCCAGGGTCTGTCTCCATTCCTCCCCTACCCAAACAAGGGAACTGCTACAGAGGAACCCAGGAAATGCTCTTGGGTTTGGAGATTGTGATTCAACTTGGCAGGTCCATTTGCCAAATCATACTGTTTTAGTGCCTAAAAATAATGTATCTGTATGTCCAGACAGAACACTGCCCAGGCCACTCTCAGCCCATTCACTAATGAGGACTCCTGCAGGGGAAGGGTGGGGCACGGTGGGACAGGGCACTGCACCTGCTCATGCTTCCTCCAGCCCAGCCGCCTTCTCCAGTATGAGCTCAGGCATGCGCACCTGCAACATGTGAGGCTCTTATCAGTGATTTTGTTTAACACACTTGTAATAATTAGAAAGTGAAGCAACTAATTCCTGACTTCCCAAGAGCAGGGCTTCTGTTAAAAGGTGTGGGGAAATGTGACAAGAGGGGAAGTGGAGAGGGGGAAATTGATCCTGAGAGTTTACTTTGCATAGCTTTGAAGGCTTTGCAGTAATGATGAAGAGAAGCTGAGGTAATCTAAAACAACAGGTAATCAAAAAGTCATTTATGTTTACCTTTTATCATCAATTATCTTCCTCTTGGCAGCAGTTGAAAAATTATGTTTTACTCAAAAGTCAGCCTGTTGACTTTATTTATACAACACTTGAACTGTGTTGGGTGTCAGTGTGTTAGCCACTGTGGAATTTCAAATGTTGCCATTTGACAGTACCTGAGAGTTGACTCTGAAGTGGTCTTCTAATAACTGTATTCTTGCTTCCTAAAACAAGATGTTATAGCTCAGTACCAAGAGTGTGAAAACACACAGGGGCATTACATTAGAAACCTGGACCTACCTGTCAATCAATATCATTTTCCACCACCATGAAGAAAACACATCCAGAGCTCAGTCTTCTCATTTATGGAATGGGGACGATAATGTGTAGCTTGCATAGTTGTATTTTAGGCCAGGAAAAATAAGGTATTAGAAGCATCTAGAATCATCTTTGACATAGGGTGGGGGCTTAGCCTATTATGATGAGCCGTACCCAAAAGTAGTGTCCCTTTGAGTGTCTTCATCTTTCTGGCTGAATCATCTGCTGACGCAACAAGAGAAGACCATATGCAGAGAGCACAAAGGGAACTCCCCCACAGAGCTTCAGATGGTGGCCCTGCACTCACCTAATTATGCACGCCAGCCTGAAATCTGCCTGACATCCCTCTTCCTCATCCTCTTGACAGCAACAGCATTAAAGGATTAAGTAGTATTTGGGGATTTGAAGGGGCCTGAAGAGTGTTTGTGTATAAAAGGAAGAGCTCAGAATCCGAGTACATAAGACAACGGACATCAACTGGGTTTACACTGACCCCTCTGTATCTAGGTGATGGTCTCCTCAAAATCAAGCACGACACTCCCAGTGAACTGCAGTTCTCCATCCTGTTTAAGGCATCTCCTTCTGAAAAATGACATCTTCCATTTCTTTTAACAGTTAGTCTAATTCTGAGGACTGGAGAGGGCCGCAGAGGTCATTAACACAACCTCTACATCTACTAAACAGTGTGGCAGGAAGAACACAGGGCTGTGGACTGAGGAGACCTAATCATCCTAGAGCTACCTTGGCCACTGACCAAACGGGGGCACCTTGGGAAACTTACATCCTCTGCGACTCTGTTTTCTCATCCACAAAATGAAGAAGCTGCATTAGAAGATGACTGTGACAGCTGATTTTATGTGTCATCTTGGCTGGGCCATGGGGTGCCAGACATTTAGTCAAACATTATTCTGCCTGTTTCTGGAAAGAAGTAACATTTCAATCTGAGTAAAGGAGGCTGCCCTCCCTAACATGGGTAGGCCCCAGCCAATTAGCTGAAAGCCTGAATAGAACCAAAAGGCAGACCCTTCTAGAGTAAGGGGGAATCTCTTTCTGCCTGACTGCCTTGAGCTGCAACATCAGTTTTTTCCTGTTTTTGGACTCAAACACTGGCTTTTCATAGGTCTCAAGCCTGACAGCCTTTGAACTGGAACTCACACCACTGGCTCTCCTGCATCTCAAGCGTGCCGACTCATTCTGCAGATCTTGGAACTTGTCGACCTCCATAATCACATGAGCCAATTCCTTATCATAAGGCTTTACATATATTGTTTTCCATCCATCCTATTAGCTCTATTTCCCTGGAGAATCCTAATACAATCCCCAAAGATGAACATTCATTTCTGATCCCTACCAAATGGCTATCTGATCCCTCCTTGCACACCTCTCAGAGACAAGGCACACTACCCACTGTGGCAGCTCACCCTGCTCTCTGGGGAATAGCGGTCAGTTCCTTGGGAAGCACCACCCCAGGTCACTCCAAAGCTGAACCAGCTGCATTCCCACCTGCAAAAAGCATTTCTCCAACAGGTGAGATTTTACCTGAGCAGATACAGTAGAAATGTTATCCTTGCTTTCACTGTAATTATGTTAATATGGACTGAGATTGCCTTTGTTGTTATTGTTGGTTTTGTCTCATTTTGGGTTTCCTGGTTATCACATACTGTTGGCTAATATTGAGTGTGCAGTTAACCCTTAACTCATTTTCACTTGCATTTCACTGGGTATGGCCAAATCACCGCCTGATACTTCTACAAGAGTCTTTTTAGTACATAAGGGAAGGCTTTTACATTTTTTACTATACCAACATCATCTTGCTACCTTAGGGCCACAAATTTTACAGTTCTTACCTTGTCATCTAAATAGCCATGTCCACCTCACCCTCTGTGTCATCCAGAGACTGGATTGCACAGTACATCATTAACCCTCATAGAAAACACAAGATGGGGCCCAGTCCCTTGCTGCACTCCCCACTAGCACCCTCCCTCCTGGCCAGTGGTCTCCAGCTCTGACTTCACATTACAATCACCCAGGAATCTTAAAATAAATAAAAAGCCAGGCTTAACCTCAGATTCCGATTTAGTTGGAGGGGCTAGGGAGAAAAGATGCTTGGGCATTAGTAAGAACGCTTTAGGTGATTCTAATGTATAGCAGGCTGACAACAAGTGTTCTGTCTAGGCCAGAGGTCAGCAAACTTTGTCTGTTAAAGAGCCAGAAAGCAAATATTATACGCTTCATGGGCCAAATGGTCTCCAAAGCAACTGTTCAGCTCTGCTACTGTAGCATGAAAGCAGCCATAAACAATACATAAACAAATGGGCACAACTGTGTTCCAATAAAGCTTTGTTTATGAAAACAAACAACAGGCCATTTTGTCCCAGAGGCTATAGTTAGTTGACCAATCCATTCATCACCCAGTTTAAAAATGGTTGCAGGCCCAGCACAGTGGCTCACACCTATAATCCCAGAGCTTTGAGAGTCTGAGGAGGAAGGATTGCTTAAGGCCAGTTCAATAATCAGGAGTGCTATAATCATGCACTCTAGCCTGGGTAACACAGTAAGACCCTGTCTAAAAAAACAAATAAATAATAAATAAATAAACACACACAATGGTTGTGGCAGCAAATATAAACTCATCAAACTGTATTATCACCCCAGTCACATTTCTCCATTTTGTCTGTGACACCAGAGACTCTCAAAGTGGCTAGCTGAAATCAATATTCACTCTCTATCTGGCATTCCCTTCATGTATCAGATGAACGATCCCATCTAAACAAGAAAAAGGCTTGTTCTTAGAGTATACTTTCTGTCTTCCATTACTCACTGCTGCCTTATTATATGTTCACAAACGTCTGCTTAATATTGCTTCTAGAATTCCTCAGAAACTGACTTAAGCTCACTCATCTGCAGTTTCTAAACCATGCTTTCACAGGGACATGTTTGTTGAAATCATTTACAATCTTCCAGTATCCTATTCTCCTTGATACACAAATTATCTCAAGTGGTTCCGCAATCACATCTGCAAGTTCCTTCCGTGCCCAGGAGATGTAAAGGCATTTTTTAGCCATTCTCATTATCTCTTCTATCTTGGGTTTTAATATCTGCTAACCATGTTTATTCTACCCTTTCCAACTTAAAGATCATTTTTCCTGATAAAGATGATAAAATCAAAATAGAAGTTGAGCAGTTCCGTTTTCTCCATGTCATTTGTTTACTCTATACCATCTGTTCTAAATAAGGCTATATCCTTTTTTGTGGGTAGAGCTCCAAATAGTACTGTTTTAAAACTCTTATCTACAGGCAACCACACTTTCTGGTTCACCTGGGGCACTGCAGTATATACTGTCTGCTATGGGGTAAAATCAAACAGAGGCCTCTTTACTCTGAAAAGTATCCGGTTTTTTGAACAGCTGGTTCCCTAGGTAAAGCTAAAGAAATGGTAAAGCACTCCATAGGACTGATGGGGTCTCAGGTATCCCACACTGAAAGAGAAAACAATTTCTATTGAAAACTTCAGCCACACTGGGTCAGATGTGGTGGCTCACGCCTGTAATCCAGAACTTTGGGAGGCCGAGATGGGCAGATTACCTGAGGTCAGGAGTTTGAGACCAGCCTGGCCAACACGGTGAAACCCCGTCTCTACTAAAAATACAAAAATTAGCCAGGTATGGTGGCAGGCGCCTGTAATCCCAGCTACTCAGGAGGCTGAGGCAGGAGAATCGCTGGAACCCAGGAGGCAAAGGTTGCAGTGAGCTAAGATTGCACCACTGCACTCCAGCCTGGGTGACAGAGCAAGACTCTGTGTCAAAAAAAGAAAAAAAACCTCTAGCCATACTCAACTCATATCCTGGGCCTGCCTTTTACTAGCTATATGACCACAGAATAAGTTATTCAATCTCTTCAACTCTCAACTCTGCTCGCTGGAATCTCTGTGCCTATTCAATGACTAAATGCATGATTAAAGCACATAGCATTTACACATATCACATGATAAACTCTCAAGACCAATTATCATTACCAGTATTACTACCAGTGTTATTAACTCCCTCAACCCCTGTACAGCAGCATGGAATCTGTGGCTCTCTTTTGGTGGTTTGTCCTTCCTTTTCTGAATGTCACATATTTTTTTCTCACCAATTTCTTGCTATTGGTTTAAACACAATGCTACCTCCCCACAATCTTGTAAAGTCTTTCCCATCTTGTCAAAGAAATCTTTGTCTTCACTAGAAAGCTGAAATACTCCAAGGACGTTTCTTTGCTGGCAAAGAAGCAACCGGCATTTATAACCAACATAATTTGTGAGCCGCTCTGGAAAGAAATGCAAACATGTATTCCATGAATCCCTCAACAACTGTCTTTCCTGGAATCAAGATAAACTATTATCCTTCATGGTTCCCTTGGGAACTGCTCTGAAAACTTAGGAGACTGCAACTCTCAAACAGCTTGAGTAAATCACCCTAGCTAGAAAATAAAATGACATTAACTTTCTGAGAAAAAGACTGACCCAAGGCATATTCACATAGGGGCATCATAAAAGGGACCACACAGGAGAAAAATGAGTAATGGCTGCAGTTTTAGTATCAACTACAAAAATAGTAACCATTTACTGAGTAACTAAGATATGCCAAGAAATGGCATACTAGGCATTTTATAAGCATGATTTCATGGATTCCTGTCATCAATTTTGCTGGAAATTGAGGCTCAGAGGAAGCAAGTCCCCATGGAACATAACTAGCAAATGGAAGGTACAGGATTTCCCACAGGTCTTGGGCACTCTAAGTTCATGCTCTTTCAGACATACCACGCTACATGTATTTTTTTACTGAACATGTTCCAAACTAGTTTTTTAGACACAGTTAAAAATAAAAAGCCAAGAAAAAAAGTAAAAATAATATTTACATACATTTTAGAAAAAAATGTATAAACCTTGTTGGTTAAGTGAACAGCTGACCTTTAATTAGCAATTCTGAATGATGAAACAGCAGCATAGATGCAATGGTGTGGCCAGGGCAGCTCATTAGGCACTCAGTATCAAAGTCTTTTTTTGCTGTTGACTAGTCATGTATACCCACTGTATAGCCTCTACCAAAATTGCAGACCACTTAGCAGGAATGCAAGAAATCCCTTCCTTGTACCATAAACAAAAATTAACTCAAAATAAATCACAGACCTAAATGTAAGAGCTAAAACTATAAAACTCTTAGAAAATATAGTCCTTGATTAGCAAAATCTTCTTAGATAGGACACCAAAAGTACAAGCACAAAAGAAAAACGTTTTCATCAAAACTAAAACCATTATCAAAAAAGTGAAAAGATGCAGACAGAATGGGAGAAAACAACTGTAATTCATGTATCTGATAAGGGACTTATACCTGAAATATACACCAAATACAACTCAATAATAAAAAGAAAACCTATTTTAAAATGAGCAAAGGGTCTCAGCTAGGTGCGATGGCTCATGCCTGTAATCCCAGCACTTTGGGAGGCCAAGGGATGTGGATCACTTGAGGTCAGGAGTTCAAAACCAGCCTGGCCAATGTGGTGAAACCTCATCTCTACTAAAAATACAAAAATTAGCCAGGCATGGTGGTGGGTGCCTGTAATCACAGCTACTCAGGAGACTGCGGCAGGAGAAGAGCTTGAACCTGGGAGGCAAAGGCTGCAGTGAGCCAAGATCACACCACTGCACTCCAGCCTAGGCAACAGAGTGCGACTCCATCAAAAAAAAAAAAAAAAAAAAAAAAAAAGAGCAAGGGATCTCAATAGACATTTCTCTAAAGAAGATAAACAAATGGCAAATAAGCACATGAAAAGGTGCTCAATATCTTCAGTCAATAGGGAAATGCAAATCAAAACCACAATAAGACACCACCACACATGTAGCATTAGGACACGTATATCAAAAAGACACATAGTAAAAAGTCTTAGGCTATGGAGAAACTGGAACCCTCATACACCACTGGTGAGAGTTTACTGGTAGGGTCATGAAGATATTCCAAAATTGTGGTGATGGTTTCACAACTCTGTAAATATACTAAAGCCGTTGAATTGTACACTTTATATAGATGAGGTGTATGGTATGTGAATTCTATCTGAATACAGCCGGTGTTGTTTTAAAGAAAACGGCATGTCCTCATTTCTTCCAAATCCAAGGTAAGTTAGCAAAGGCGCCCTGGGAAAAAAAGGGCTAATTTTGATTCAGAGGCCACGTCAGTGCTCCCATCTGGACAAAGAGTCAGCCAAGAACCCAGCTGCCAGGAGTGGAAGATGACCACTTCCAGGACCTGGCAGAGAGACCCTGGAAGTGCCTTTGAAAGAGCACAATGAAAATGTATCTGGCATGAAACACAGCAGGATCTACAGAACAGGCTTTGATGTTGGCAGTCATGATGCATGTCCTTAAGATCACAGATACGGTTTTGCGTAACAAACACAAAATGCCTATGACTAAGTGTATTCTTCTGATCCACTCATGTGCAGTTAGAGAGCACCGAAAGGGTTCCATACATACGCGTCAAGGAGTCACTCCCAACTCATGTGGGAAACACACCCTCCATCCTCCTTTGGTTCAACCCCAGCCTCCAAGAACAGTTTCATAGGAACTTGCTCAGTTTTGTGTTATCCACAAACTTGTCACCTTTATAGTCACTTGAAGAGGCTGGAAAAAAAACAGTGAAGGTCCTGGTGCTACAACATGATGTAACCCACGCCAGATAAGCTTTACATGTGTTACCTCATTAGTCACTCAACATAGGCTGATCATCTTACAGGCAGAGATACTGAGGAATAGGAATGTCAACTTGCCTGAGGTCACAAAGCTAGAAGGAACAAAATAGGGCTTCAAAGCCAGTCATTTTGGCCCCAAAGGCTATGTCTTAACCACTGTGCTAAGTGCCACCTGCTTAACTGGGCTTCCTTTTCCACCACAATTTCTCGTCCCTTCTGAAAGATGGTCACAGGTGTTGCTGAAATACAGATAAAACTATAGATATATATCGGTTCTCTGAGCTATTAGAGAAATGGCTTATATAATTATATTTAAAAAATATTTTAAAATTCTACTTAAATAGAATTTTACAATAGTTTTAGATTTAGAGGTACAGAAAATTTACAAAGATACTGCAGAGAATGCTTGTATAACCCTCACCCTCCGTGTACCCCTCACTTGGTTTACTCTGTTGTTACCACTGACATTACTATGTACACCTGTCACAACAAAGGAAGCAACACTGGCAAGATACTATTAACTACATGCTACACTTTCCTTGGATTTCACTTTTTTACCCTAATGTCCTTTTCTATCCCAGGAACCCATCCCATTATGTTTAAAGGTCATGGCTCCTTTGCCTGGCCTGGTCGGTGACACTATGCTCAGACGTCCCTTGTTTTTGATGACGTTGACGGTCTTGAGAAGCACTATCAGGCATTTGGTAGAACATCCCTCCATGTGGGTTTGACTGATGCTTTTCTCACTCATCAGTAGACCAAGATTACGGGTTTTTCAGGTCACGGAGGTGAAATACCCTTCTCACCACATCCTGTCAAGGTGTGACATGGTCAACATGAACTGATCACCAGGCCGAGGAACTGTGTGCCAGGTTTCTCCACCTCTACGTTCCTTTCTCTCCTTGCCCTACTGTGTGGTTTGGAGCTAAGTCCCAAAATGCACCCCACGTTATAGGAATGGAGAGTTAATCTCCATCTCCTTGCTGGGGAGTAACTATATACAAATAACCTTACTTTTTATGATGGTTAATCCATACGGCTTTAAAAAAATAAAACAACATGCCGAGTGACAGGGTAAGGCCCTGCCCTGCTGTTGGTGACTCTGCAGTGGCTGTAATGGCTTCCTGATCATCTTTATCTCAGAATCACAGGGGGTAAGAAGTACTATCTCCCAGGTAACGAAAAAGTAAAACACCTGGCCAGCATGGAAACAGAGAAGTCCATTCCATTCTAGATGATGTTTACAAACAACCGGAGTCAGAGAAAAGAGAAAAAACTATCCCATGATGGGGACAATACATGCTGCCTATGTTTGTATAGACAGGTATTAAACTGGGAGTTTCAAATAAGTTACCAAGAAACAACAAATATAAATTTCCGAAGTGAGGTGCCAGTCTCTGCAAAGGAGCTTTTCAAAGTTAATGTATCATAACTAGTTTCATGATTTTTTATAACCCTTACCCACTCTGAATGAACAACAGAAATCAAGAGAGAATTCTGTTTATCTCTGAGTGGGGAAAAAACAGCTGTGTTATGATCCCCTCCACCATCACCAAATAGTTGGGTAGCACAGTGGGAATGGAATGCCTACTCTCAAGTCCACTGAGAAACTTCAAAGCAGAAATACACAGCAATTGATATAATTTCCCTAGAATTTTGGAGGACTGCTGAACTGGCAGCTGGTACACACCAAGAAGATACAGGCTAGCTAAAACTGCACTGCAAAGGACCTGCACCCCATTCTCCCTCTGAAGTGGAGGAAAGGCAATTTAATTTCTAGATGTAAAATTTATGATAGGGATGTCACAAGAGACTTCTTCCAAGGGGTCAGATGGACCCAGCAGGGTCTAGATGAGGCAGACCTCAAAATCAGAAGCTGCGAGCAACATGGGAGCAGAGCAAGGCTGCCTGAGCAAGGTGGCCGAGCTGGTGGGGCCCAGCAGAGGAGCACATGGAGTGCCCATGTGGACCCTTTAAAACCAGCTCAGGGCCAGGCGCGGTGGCTCACGCTTGTAATCCCAGCACTTTGGGAGGCCGAGGCGGGTGGATCACGAGGTCAAGAGATCGAGACCATCCTGGTAAACATGGTGAAACCCCGTCTCTACTAAAAATTACAAAAAATTAGCTGGGCATGGTGGCGTGTGCCTGTAATCCCAGCTACTCAGGAGGT